TACAGATGGAAGGTGATGCCATTTGGATTACGCAACGCCGCAGCTTCATTCCAGAAAGTGATGAACAGTGCTTTAAGTGAATATCGTGAATTCTGCAAAGCATATCTTGATGATATTGCTATCTTTTCTTGTGACTGGGATACACATATTACACATTTAGATGTCGTGTTATCCAAATTAACTGAACTGAAATTCACTGTTAATGTGAAGAAATGTGTCTTCGCAAAAACGCAACTAAAGTATCTAGGCCATATCATCGGAGCTGGAAGACATGAACCGGATCCTGAAAAGCTACGTGCTATTGAAATCATCGAGAGTCCTAGAACTAAATCAGCATTAAAGAGTGCACTAGGCCTCTTCAACTATTACCGAAATTACATAAAAAATTACGCGGAAATAGCGAAACCGCTAACAGATTTAACAAAAAAGAATGTTCCAGAATCTATCCCTTGGACTGAAGTTGAAGAACTGTCATTTCAAGAATTAAAAAACTTATTATGTGAAGCCCCTACACTCTATACACCAGATCCAAAAAAATCATATGTTATTCAATGTGACGCTAGTTCATATGGTGTTGGTGCTTGTCTGTCTCAAAGGGACGACAAAGGTAATTTATACCCTATCAGTTTCGCTAGCCAAAAATTCAACAAAGTTCAGCAGAACTGGCCTACTATTGAACGTGAAGCATATGCAGTTGTGTGGTCGATTAAGAAATTTGAAAATTATGTGTTCGGTGCAAATATTGAGATAATAACTGATCATAATCCTTTAACATTTTTGCAAAAATCTGCACCACAGTCGACTAAATTACAACGATGGGCATTGGCTCTACAAAGATATAACATTCATATTTCACACTGCCCAGGTGATCAATTGAAAAATGCTGATGGTCTATCAAGACTGGTGTGTGATTAAATCTACTGTGACTAGTGTTTGTTTTAAAATTGATATGGTGTGTTTGTATCAAGGTTTCTTTTCATCTATGGTTATATATTGATTTAAAATCTATATAGTAATGTGTTTGTATCAATGCTTCTTTTCATCTGTGGTTATATTTATATATTTTGTTTGATTTAATTTGTGGCTGGTAATAGTATATTTTATGTGTTATTATAACAAGGCATCTATTCATCTGTTTGAATTGATTTAAAAATGTCTAAGGATATTAATAGTAGTTATGATACATATTCTGTAATGTGAAGTATCCTATTTATGTCAGATTTCGC